TTAACTCAGACAAAAGTCTACTGGGAGTAAATATTAGAAACATTGTTAAATCAGTTGTTGAGAGAACAGTGTTTCTTTTCTCCTTAATTGTAACAGCAGGACTGGTTCCCCCCACCCCCCAGTCTGAATTGTTTGGTACAATGACCCTTATCCCTATTTGTACGCTGGTGTGTGAAAGATGGGTGTTTGGTGTAAACATGCACCGTGGCTTCCTGGGAAGATGGAACAGGTTTGTTTTCCATTGAGCCCACGCTGGTTGTGAGACCGTAGACTTAAGCCTCGTCTGTACCAGTGAAGGGGATGGCCACATGGCAAGATGTAGTAACCTGGTTCTGTAATGAGAAAAAGGAAGAGAACTTGAATCTGCATGTCGCTCTCCCTCTCTAAGACAGGGATGGGAGAATTCTTGTAAAATGATAATGTGACACAGAGTTTCACAATTTACTTTCAAAAAGTTATTTTGAGGAAATAAAGTTTTCCTGTTATTTTGAGGAAATAAAGTTTTCCTCGTTCTTGCATTGCTTCAGCCTCTACTGCGTGAGAGCCAAAGAAGAAACGAAACAAATTAGGCAAGTAATAAACTCCAGAGCAGAAAATGTGAAAGAAAAAAGGAGTTTGTTTCAGTGTTTTAACAATTGTATTTATAATAATAAATTGGAGAGTGTTTGAAGCTGCTATAGTTAGAAGTTTATTTTGTAACATCCACACCTCCAGAGATTATCATCGTAGGGTGGTGAGTCACACATGAACTTCACGATGCAAAAAGAAAGATGTGGACTAGGTGTGGTGCTATGAAATACAGCTGCATTATTTAAATTCCCTACAGACTAATGTTGCAAACATTTTTCGTGGAAGTAAATATTTTTACTGCATAGGTCTGCCTAGCTCAAGTAAGAACATGTTGGGCAGAAATGCTGCAAAGGTTTTCAGGGAGTCCCCAAACAGCATCGGATGGCAGACAAGACCTACTTTTTATTTTTATTTTATTTTTAAAAGATTTTATTTATTTTTGAAGAGAGTGGAAGGGAAGGAGAAAGAGAGGGAAAGAAACATCACTGTGTGGTTGCCTCTTGAGCGCCCCCTACTGGGGACCCGGCCTGCAGCCCAGGCATGTGCTCTGACTGGGCATTGAACAGGCTTCCCTTTGGTTTGCAGGCCGGCACACAATCCACAGAGCCACACCAGCCAGGGCAAGACCTACTTTTTAAAGACATACTTCTAAAAATTCTTTTGCCCTTCTCGGGCATTTAAATCATCAAGACTGATGGAAGTGCTAATTTGGGGGACTTAGTGCACATCTGGAAGGCAGTTTGGGGAAACACAGAGGCAGCTGAGCCACCCTGTTCTAAGTTGTCATCTGCTGAGGACCAAGTGTGAGTGGACGTCGCTGCATAAGGCAGGTGTGAGACGTCTGCTGTCGTTGGTCTCAGTTAGCTGAGCAACTGGTTCCTCATGAGCAACGGGTATATTTTCGAGGCCCCTGATTACTAGAAAGTTTCTAGTTATTGGGAGTGAGGACCGGGGAATCAAACCCTTTCACTCGTAGGAGAAAAAGTTTGATTAATGGCTTTTGGAAACTTTGGAACGGAAGAGCTGGTTTCGAAGGTGTTGCTAGAATATATGAGAAAAGGGGGGAAAAGTAAGGGGAGCAAAGCTATACAGATAAGTTGTTGAAAATTTTTTTGGAGTGGCCTTGATTGAGTTGAGAAAACAGTGGGTTGTGGTAAGTTGTACAATTCATTAGAAGGCTGGTTATTCTTGTGAGAAGCAGGAATTCAAGGTCGAAGTGCTGCAGCTTGGACACTGCCTCTCTCGGTGCTTCTGTCAATGAGAGGTGGAGATAGATGATAGATAGATAGATGTTAATTTCCATTATGAACAGATAAGACATCTAACAAGTTTACTCTGAGTGAACTTGTTATTTTTACTCAGAATTAAAAGCTGTGGATTTCGCATAAGGTTAAAGGTGGCAAGTATGTTTCGTGTCCTGGATGGATGAAGACAGAAGTTGCTGGATGAGGATTGCATCATGTTCTCGAGAGACCAAGACCCCTCTAGAGAGCCCAGGGTCTTCCACAGGCCCTAGTTGTCATGGGGAGTAGTGGGATCCGGGCAAAAACTCATAAAAATGGCTTTTCAGATGAAGTCACTGGATGACGTGTCCCCTCTACCTTCTGACGCCTCCACAAAGTGAGCTCCTTGGTCTTTTCTCTGTGCTGGAGGAGTGAGCTAAGAGAACATGAGGCTCTGGGAGAACAGGTGGGATGGTGAGGGCTTCGTGGCTATGAAGGGTAAGCAAATATCGTAGGTTAACAGAGGGCAGAAGCCCAGTTCCCTGTGTCCCCAAACCATCCAGGTGCTTCCCCTCTGGCCTTGCGCCCTTGCCTCAGTGGGCACCTGTCTCATAGTCCTGGCTGGTGGTGGGGACAACTGCTTCCGAGGGAGTCACTCAGGTGCCCTTCCTCTTTTCTAAAGATTCATCCAGTACTTTCTCCCGGTGCTGGGGCTGAGGTGCATGGGGTTGGAGAGGGCCTACTCTGGGGGGAGAGCCACCACCTTGGGGGCTGCTGGGTCCTCCCAGTCTGCAGACCTCAGCTCCTTCCTCAGCCCAGCTGGATTTGGGGAAGGAGGTGAAGGGCCCTGAGAGCTGGGCTGGTCCCCTCAGGGTTTATTTTGTAGGATGGATGATGGAGGTGGCAGGGATTATTCTGAGGGGAGAGAGAAAGACCCAATCAGATCTCTGTTCAGCAAGGTCACTTCGGCCAGGTGCACGGCAGATTAGGCAAAGTGTGGCAGGAGACAGGAAAACCTTTGGGAGGTTGTAGGTGTTTGTTCAGTGGCCCGTGTGGCATTTGCTGCTGAGCTGAGGCGAGTCAGGGCAAACCTTAGGATCGTAATTTGATTTATCCTGCTATATTTCAGCAGCCTCTACTTAAGACATTCTGGCCTGGCTCCCTCTTTCTCAAGAGTGACTTCTCCCTGACATTTGCCTTATTGAAGCCAGTCAAGCAAAAAAGGCTGGTAGGCTCAGCGTAGATTCCATCCTGACGGATGCTGTTTCTCTTCATTTACTCGCCAGTCAACACGCGAAGAGCAGGGCATCTCCCACCTCCTCTGCACTGTCTGTCCAGCTCGCCATCTCGGACACGCAGGGAGTGACTGCCCACAGGCGCTCGGGTACCTCACTGGTCTTGTAGGAGCCCTTCGCTCCCCAAGCCTTGTGCTGGGAACTTGGAGGGAATTAGCGCAAATGTAGAAGATTTTACTGCTAGGAAAGGAAGAATATTTTCTAAGAAATCATTGCTTTCTCTTTCTGTTTTCTGCACTTGGTTCTGTAAAATCGGTGAATGTGGAAGTGGGAACAGCAGCCAGTCCTGACTGGGGCCTGAGGTCTTTAGCACAAAGGCATTTGGAGAACTCTGAAGTCCAACTCGATGGCATCTTCCGCGTGCTTTTCAGCGTGAGACGTGTTTTGCTCGGCGTGCTGTGCTAACATGAATTATGCGAGAAGGCTGGCCAGGGGTGTGTAAAATAGAAAGTGTGTGTGCACCTTTCAGGTTGAATGAAAGTTATGTTTGCTTGGTTGTCTTGGTGAGAATCTTTTCCTTGGTTGTCTTGGCAGGGCCATTTACTCAAAGCAGAGAAAGGATGTGTTGGGAGGTGAAAAGGGGCAGGGGAGACCTTTCTAGGGAGGGAGGGAGGGAGGGAGGGAGGGAGGGAGGGAGGGAGGGAGGGAGGGAGGGAGGGAGGGAGGGAGGGAGGGCCTAACCTACAATTGGAAGCAGCATTTCTGTCATCCTGTGTTTATATGTTCAGATGTGTATTTAGCAGTCAGCTCCCCTAAAGAAAGACTCTAGTCTGAAACATCTGTAGTGAGTATTGTCCGCCAAATATGTTTTGTAGACTAAGTATGTACCAGGCGGACTCTGAGGGGCTGAGTTCTAAGTGTTTTGTTTCTTTAAAGGAAGATTTAGCATACGTGAAAAGGTATTTTTTAAAGATTTTATTTATTTATCTTTAGAGGGGAAGGGAAGGAGAGAGGGAGAGAAATATCAGTGTACTGTTGCCTCTTGCGCGTCCCCTGCTGGGAACTGGCCTGCAACCCAGCCATGTGCCCTGACAGGGAATCGAACTGCCATCTTTTGGTTCCCAGGCCCACACTCAATCCACTGAGCTACACCAGCCAGGGCCTAAGTGTTGTTTTGTGTGACCTCAGTACTCTGCAGTATGAAGTAGGTGCTGTTCCTGTTCTGCTGTGGCCAGAGGTCGGGAACGAGCCCAAGGCCGCCAGCCCCGAAGTGGCAGTGCGCTGTGAACTCAGGATTGCGGGCTCCAGAGCAGCTTCCAGGCACTGCCCTCAGTAAAGAGACATTTGTGACCCCTCGTGTGTGTAGATGAATTTGTAACGTGTACTTTTCTGTCTGTGCTTGGGATGACTCCACTCTTCCGAGGGTCTCATGGGAGGGGCTGGTTCAGGTACGGCCCAGATGCAGAGTTCCAGTTGGTCCCTGTGGTCTCAGGTTCCAGTCGGAATTTCTGGGACTGCTGTCCTGGAGTCCGAATTCCACAAAAGCTCTGCGGGAGGTTCTCCTGCCGCTGCGGCCCGATGGGCTCTAGGGAGGCTTGCACTAATGCAGTGCCTTGGCTGGAGGGGCGTCCCTGGGGCTTTCCTGGTCCTGCTAAGCAGGCAGAGGTGTGAGTTAACTGTGGCTTTGGGACCACACAGTCCCAGGCCGGAGGCCCTGCCCTCCCGTGGCTGTCACGCAGCTGCTTCGAGCTCCTCTCCTTCCGTCTATGCAGAGAGGATGTAGGGCCGTCCTGAGTATTGGGAGATGTCACGCGTGAAGCTTAGCCCAGCTCACGTTCACCACTTAACTACGTATCAGCTGTATAACTGTACACGCTGTGGAGAGGGAGGCGACACAGTGTGAGGCGTGTGCCGGTGGACTGACCGCCTTTGTTCTTTTCCCGCTTCTTCCTCCCACCCTCCTCACCCTCAGGACGGCTCCCTGGGCAACATCGATGACCTGGCGCAGCAGTATGCAGACTATTACAACACCTATTTCTCCGACGTGTGCGAGAGGATGGAGGAGCTGCGGAAGCGGCGGGTTTCGCAGGACCTGGATGTGGTGAGTGCGTGGCGCCGGGTCCCACACCCGCTCTTTGGGCCTTGTCTCGGTCTCACCTGTGCTCGGAGCATTCCCCTGCAGGCTGCTGAACTAGTCTGGGATGAAAAATTCAGATCCCTTCCACCCAGTTCTGCAGATGTCAGACTGAATGAGTATTGGCTGGGGCAATACGATGAAAACTTTGTATTCATTAAAAGACTGGATCTGTTATTGTTTAATTTAAGGGAAAAGGATATCTTAATGTTGGCCATTATATACAGTACTACCTTTTTATTGACTTTTAAGCCCAAAGGATGTCTAGTTCTCCCCTCCCTCCCTCCCTCCTTTCCTTCCTCCCTCCCTCCCTCCCTCCCCCTTCTCATCCTCTGTTCCTCCTCCTTCTAGAAACAAAATAGCATTTAAATAAGCAAAAAACCACCCTAATCTTCCATCTCGCCATTACCATGTGGTATATAGCAGATTTCTGCTTGATGGTTTTCTGGACATTTTAATATCAGCAATAAAATTCCTTCTTTTTTCCCCTGACATTTTATCGTGGTTCTTCCATGTCATTAAGACCTCTTTGCAATCACCATTTTTCAGGACAACATTCTGTTCTCTCACTCGGGTGGATTGAAATCCCTGTGTCTTGTTTGTAAAGACTTTTACATGTGTGTGTAGTGGAGCAGTTGAATTTGCATGTGATAAATAGTAGCTAACTAAACAGCTTGGGTGTTCTCTGGATAATCTCTGTGTGCTCGTATTTTTCATGTCGTGTGTTTATTATAAAGTAGCTTACCGAACCTTCTGCATGATCAGTTAAAACTCGCTACACGTATGATGCTTGAATTCATTTTGGTTCTGTGCTTTTCAAATTGTTTTGTTCCCCTGTGGTCACCTTTAGACCATTTCAGGGGCAGGAGGCGGAAGATGAGGTTAGATGCTCCGCGCCTTCCCTCCGGACCACCTCCGTTTTGACCATTTTTTATATATTGGGGACTATGTAGATCTGTTCTAAAATAGATCTTTGCAATGTGAATCTTTTTTTTTTTTAAGTTTGAAAACTGCTGATTCAATGAATCCTTTTTTAAAAAATGTAATTTCCTGTAAATCTACTTAGACTAGGAATGAAAAAACAGTAACTAGCAACAGATAATTCTTTTTAAAAAAGATTTTATTTCTTTTTAGAGAGGGGAAGGAAGGGAGAAAGAGGAAGAGAAACATCAATGTGTGGTTGCTTCTCAAGTGACCCCTAATGGGGACCTGGCCCACAACCGAGGCATGTGCCCTGACTGGGAATTGAACTGGCGACCCTTTGGTTCACAATCCAGCACTCAATCCACTGAGCCACACCAGCCAGGGATGATAATTTTTTAAATTTATTTAATTATTTTTCAACTACAGTATTCTGTCTTTTACTCCCATCCCGGCCCACCCCCCTAATTTTTTATTAATAATGCATTTTATATTGTAAGGGGCCCAACAAGTGGTTTAGACTCCACTCTGTGTATCCTACAAGTACATGGGGTCCACGTCCACCTGAGTAGGGTGTTTGCCTTCTTCTGTGCTTTTATTTCTTTTCTTAGCTTGGGTCAAGAGTGACGTTATATCCTGATTATCAAATAATTATTGATTCTCTTAGTTTTTTACTCACTGACTTAGCAGTTGGCAGAGGTGGGAGTTAGTATAATAGAGTCAAGTGAAGCTTGAGGAGCGTGGGTTGGGGGCCACAGGGAGCCTGACTTGTGGGCCAGGCAGACATGTGGGCGTCTTTGTCGCCGAGGCCCTTTTTCTTACAACTGTGTCTCCTGGCCTGTGCAAAGTGTGGGGGGTTATTTTATATCTTTCCATTATGTGGCAAAAAGACTCCTCTGCTTTGTTAACATTCATTAGGCCCTCACGATGGTGGCATTGTTGATGGAAAAAGGCCTTCCTTTTGGCAAGATTGCTGCAGAACCAGTTACGTATTGCACTGCATTCTCGAGTGTTGCAAGTTTGACTTTATTTGATAGTCTGGTGGCCCACTTCATGGCCTTCTTGGACATTTCACTGTGCAAGGAGATGTTTGCCACACGTTGCTAGGTTATCCTTGATGTAACACTCAGCTGCTCGCCCCAGAGTTCTAGCTGGTTAAGAGTTAGGGTTGCCATGATCATCCCCATGGTGTTTGGGATCCTCAGAAGGCAGCTTCTGGGTAGGAAAGGAAGCTTGCCTGGCTTTGGGATAAATAACTTCTTCCCATTTAGACAGATGGGCCTAATTTGATGTGCTCCGTTCCAGAGCTGCAAAAGCAGTCTGGGGAGGAAAAGCACCACGGGAGCTTAATTAGTTCTCATCAAAGGTGCAGAATATGGTAATATGGTGGTGGGTAAAATTGATGGGAGCTAATTTGAGCCAGGCTGGAAACTCTGTTCATCCTTTAAACTGTGGTTAGTGGGAAAATAAGATCCCTAGTCAACATACTCAAGTTCTCTTTCTGTGAGGTTGAGGCCGGTTGCAGTGGCAAAGGGGCGGTCTCCAGCTGGAGAAGGCCAGGTGGGTGCCCTGTGCTACACTCGTCATTCCCAGGGCCCAGGGGGCTAGATGCCCGCGTGAGGTGAGACGGTTGTGAGGTCATCATTCAGACCACGAGCATAACACTGGCCATTTACGTAAAGTTCCCCCTCGAGGTAGTGAGCTGACCACAGATTGAGTTGGATAGGAACTCAGTTTTCTTAAAAAGATGTAATTTTCAGCCCATAATGCTTCCTTTGCTTGCATCAGATTGTGTCTGTATTTCTGGACTTTGAATTCTGCCTTCGGACAAGTGGGCACACTTGTTCCCTGCTTGGCTGTTGGAGCAGCGTGGTGTCTGGGGGCCTGCGGCTTCATTCTTCCTTCTCTGCTGGGAAACAGCCTCGTCAAGGCTGAATGTGAGATTTCTCGGAGAAGAAACAATCCACCCAAAGCACTATGAGGAAATCGCAACATTAGGAGCCCCAAACATTTTATAGGGAAAAAAAGTAGCATTAAGTTTGTTTAGTTAGCAGCATAAAAAGTCATTTAGAGTCAGCCTCCAGAACAGAGAGTTCGGGGCAATGGGTTAAATTGGTTTTATGACTTTTTTTTTTTAGGGATTGAAAGACTGTCCTTTAGACAAAATAGATACCTAAATATTTGTGTGTTGGCTTTTAAAAAGTCCAAAAGTGCATTGTGTTTAAGAGCTAATTACACGTCAACTGGAGAACAAACCAACCAAAAAGGCAGGCCGCCCACAGAGATGCTTGACTTAACCCTGAAAAATGGAAGGTTTTGATAATTATGTTAGTGATTAACGTTCTGGATTGGGTAGCAAGCTAGTTTTCCAGCACCCCCTCTCCCGGCCCCCGACTGGAATCAAGCACTCAACTTGATAAAGGGTCTTTGGGGCCGGTGAGTTTAGATGAAGGCAACAGAGTACAGATGGGTGAAAATTCAACAGTGTAAACAGGAATTATGATTTAAATTGAGGACCATGGTGAGAGTTTTTATTTAGTACCAAATGGGCCCTAAAGGCAGGGTGTGTTTGGACAGCAGCCGGGGCCTCTGCTGGGGATTAGATCATTAGTGCTTGTGAACAGCAGGGAAGTTGCCCGTATTTCCACATATTTGGCACGTGCCTGAGCTTCGTGTGTGTTTTTGGCTGGGAGAAGCTGCATTTGGAAATGACAACAGCTTTTCAAGTCCATAATGGGTCTTTCTCTAGTGATGCTAAATCTGACATCTGTCAAAGTGACACCGTGGCCAGGAAAGGGACACACACACGGTGGCCTCTTGTCGCTGGTCATACCACTGTCCTCAGCATCTTTGAGCGTGACTCTGCTCAAGTTTAAGCAGTTGTTGGTGTGAGGCGGCCCTAGCGGAGAGGTCCCCCAACTCCTCAGGGGGACCCTGTGACGACTGCCGTGGACTCCGGATCACACCTTTGTCACATCTGTGTGTGGGCGCCAGGAAATGGGAGTCCAGGCGGAGACTCACCTGGGTCTCTAAGGACCAGGAATATAAAGGAAAATATTGTCAGTCAGCACAGGAGAGTGATACCAGCACCATCGCTGATGGTGTCGGAGTGATTCTGGAGTATATTGGGGTTTCTTGTCATTTTCATGATTTAATCTTTCCAGAGACAACCCTGGACTAAGAGGCATATAAGAGTGGTGTCTGTCGTGACTGGTGGGGATTCCTGGGCTTCTTGAGACACTCACCGGGCCCAAGCTGGAGTCCTAGCCCCTCAGCTTACTGCGGTGGCCGGGGGTGTGGGGACCACTTCGGGAAAGAAAGCGCACGGGGCATCCAGCGGACTTGTGTTCAGATGCTGCTTTACTTAGCTGGCAAGTTGTGGAACTCCCCTAAGCCTCAGTTTCCCCCTCTGTAAGTGGTGCTAGAATGACCACAAAGCCGTTCTGAGCAGCGAATGAGGAAACTGTTATGAAGTACCAGGTGCATCACTGTGCGTGACCTGTAACTGTTCTTTTCCTTCTGTTTCTCGTTCAGAAACTTCAAGGGGGTCTGTTATTTGTTAATATTTATCAATATTAATTTGTTGATATTCATCCATATTATTTAGCTGATGAATTAGCCGGTAGTTGATATGGACTAGCTAATATCAACACAGTAATTTGCTAATATTAATATCTGCTAATATTGCTATCAATTAGTTGGTATTAATTAGCTCATCTTAATTTGTTAATATTAATAATGTTCATATGTATTCATGTGAGTGTAGAGTTTTTTCTGGCTTTTATTTTGGGAAGTTTCAAACATCTCCAAAGAGCAGAATACACACAGTGCTTCCCGTGCCTCTTACTGGCCTCAGCAGTTCCCGGCTCTCTGTCATTCTCATTTCATCTTTATCCCTCATGCCCGCTCGGTTATTCTTTAAAACTTCTTCTTTTGTGAGGCACAGCTTGCCTATTGAAATGCACAAGCCTTAGCTCTCTGACGGTGTCCAGTGGACACATCCATGCCACCCACACCGCAGTACAATGTAGCACATAGCTGCCGCC